GTTGCAGCAAGAGGGAAAATGGGTGTGCCCTCTTGGGAGACCTGAAATAAAAGGTATAGGGTAGATTGTCATGGACGAAAGCTATTCATGTCCTTGATGGGACTCGAATACGACTTGATGGCATCGAAGGAAGCACGGAATCCATGAAAGCCTCTTGCAAACGCGTCAGAGTAGATAGGACGAGGATGATTTTCAACCTTCTGTCACTAGATGGCGATCTACAAAGAAGCAACACTCGCGCCTTAAAAAGCAGAGAATGGAGAACAGCAACGGCATCGCTACTATTGACATTCCACCAGCGGGAGAGAGGCTGAGCTGGAACACATTTGAAACTATAGAGGGTTAGATTGCTAGATTGGAGTACAGAGTAAGTTCCTCTTCCGGTTCACCCGCGGAAGGAGGATGGCGTCGACAGAGCCTCTTGTGTCATTTGGAGGGTCGAAGCGGCTCCTGGGAGGTGAGTGGAGGGAAGGTCGGAGGAGAAGCTGGGAGAAAGTCGGGCCCTTTGGCTTCTTCCACGGCCTGGAAGCAGCGAAGGGGGAAGAATGAAGCCTGCGGGCTGCTCTTGCTGCTGCTGCACATTCTTTCTCTCCCAAAATGGTTTTATGCTTTTGCTCCATGATTTAAAGTTGCTGCCTGTGATTTCCTGCTGGGAGATTTGGGAGATTTAAAGAACTCTTGATATATATTTTCATATTTCTGAGCCACCCGCCTCCCTCACCCTTCACGTAGCACTTGGATCCTTGTGGTCTCATTGACATGTCGCTTTCCTGGCCAGCGAGGAGTTTCATGGGCAAAAGGGATGTTTGCATCGGATTTGTTCACCGTTTCATCCGTTAGTGACCCCCACCTTTTAAAAAAAGATTAAAAAATTAGAGACAATGCACTTCTGAGTCATTTTGCAGACTGAAATGCTCATAATTGTTTACACCATTAAATTCTGTATTTCTATGTCAATACGAACACACATTCAGTTCATTCAGACAGTATCCAGACCCCCTTCACTTCTGTCAATTTTGTTACTCTGCAGCCTAATTTTACACTTGTTGAAATTCATTTTTTCTCATTCATGTATATTCCTAATAACAAAGTGTAAACAGAATTTAATGGTGTAAACAATTATGAGCATTTCAGTCTGCAAAATGACTCAGAAGTGCATTGCCTCTAATTTTTTAACCTATTTTTTAAAAGGTGGGGGTCACTAACAGATGAAACGGTGAACAAATCCGATGCAAACATCCCTTTTGCCCATGAAACTCCTCGCTGGCCAGGAAAGCGACATGTCAATGAGACCACAAGGATCCAGGTGCTACGTG